CAGATTAATGCTCTTATCCAGAGAAGGCGAAATACTGCAAAATTTATTCCTAAAATGCTCAGGTCCAAAAACCAAAACCTGTGTCTTGTCTGAGTTTAAAAGCAGAGAATTAAAGGTCATCCAGGTTTGTATGGCTTTAAGACATTCTTAGATTCTGAGGGTATCATTCAAATTGGTCCAGATGTTCATGAGACACTTTGCTAACAGACAAAGTTGACTCTAATAATAAATGGCAATTTTTTTAACAAAGATCTTGCTGAGTCAATTAGTGCTTAGATGAGGATCAGTGTCAGCTTCTACCACACCGAATTTTAGCTCAATATCTAGAATACCTTTGTGCTGCTGTTGTTCAGCGTATTGTTTTTGTGCTACTAGTTTAGCATATAGTTCATATCTTAGATCTTATTACTGCTTTCCTTTAACAATTTATACCTTTGTTGGATGTAACTGGGACCCTGTGTACACAATTTCGTTCCACCACATGTACCACATTTGGTACGAATAAAGAAACGTTGACCTTGATAATGGATTGAGTTTTAGCCTTGTCTATATTTGCTAAAAATACAGGAATTAATTTGCAGTTGGTTTTGCATGATTGAGCCATTTATACAAATGTTTTCCTTTTAAAATTAATCTGTACAAAAAAGCAACACTATTCATAATAAAGACACTACACGTTAGACTGAGTACAAACTATAGCAATGATCCACTTGTTTTTCATTTTATTTTAAAAATGCTACAAATGAGAAGCAAAACAACAAGTTAAATCAAGCAAAGCAAAAGTTGCTTGTGACTTAGTTTTTGACTATTAGGTAATTAACAATAAAACACAAAAGATGAAGATATTTACAGTTTGGCCCTTGATTGTGTTACTAATAGTAGCAATTTGAGAATTCATCAGCGTCAACAGCTGAAATGATAAAAGCATGTCATCACATCTTGGAGTGCATCCCTCTCTGCCCACACTGGATAACAAAATTGATGCTGGGAGCAAATAGCACAACATTTTACTGATCTGGCAATGACAAACTGCCAACCTTTCATGCGTCCCTGTTCAAATGTTACCACGCAACTGTCCAAGTCAATTTGTTAACACTCTGGGAGGTTTTTCGCCCTGTCTGCTTGTGTGTCATCGTAAAATATTAAAGTGTGAACAAGGATCATCACTAGGTAAGTGTTCCCACATCTTGCCAACGTTAAAGCTACAGGCTGTTTTATAGTCAGTAGTAGAATAAAGATTCAACACAATGTGAGTTTTGTCGTAACAGAAATGCTTCGATGATGTAGGCTTGGTGCAACTCTGTCACACATCTGTGTCCTGTAAGTTTCATTAATCTTCAGTGGATAGAACAGGAAAGCCCAAAGATGTTGATATATTTCATTTTTATTTGTTTTTAAAATTGACGTTTGAACCACAAATACACCATTTTGTTAAGATGCTGCCTGCAGCTGTAGTCCTTAACTAAACATAATTCTTGTTGTCAGCATAAAATCACATTTCTGCTTCACCTTTTCTGTATCGTAGGTGTTCAAGTAGCCCATTGAACTTTAACTTTTATTAATTTAAAGTACTTTATTCACTTACTGTATTTGTATATTGCCCAGGACATCTTTGTAAAAGAGATTAAGAATCTCAATGGATTTCTTCCTGGTAAAATAAAGGTTTAATAATAATAATAATAATTCAAAAGCTTGGTAGTTTGAAAAGTAACAAATTTACTTTATTGCCCACCATTAAAGGATACAACGCAGTATTAGGGCCACGCTAAGAAAAAAAACAAAAAAACATTATGAATGAGAATAAAGTCGTAGCATTACGACAATAAAGTCATAATATTACAAGAATAAAGTTGAAATAATATGAGAATAAAGTTATAGTATTATGAGAATAAAGTAGAAACAATACGTGAATAAAGTCACCATATTACGAGAATAAAGTAGGAACGATACGAGAATAAAGTCATACTATTACGAGAATAAACACAGTGACTCACATTGAAGGTTGTCCACAGCAGGTGCGAGCCGACCCAAGATGTATTACAAGTTTATTCTCGTAATATTATGACTTAGGTCCCTGTACGACCGGTGTCAGAGCTTGGTCCCTATTGCCGGCAGTAAGTTGGGCTCATTCCCAGTGAGAGTTGGACTCCGCCAAGGTGACACCAATTCTGTTCATAACTTTTATGAACAGAATTTCTAGGCACAGCCAAGGTGTTGAGGCGATCCGTTTTAGTGAACTTAGGATCGCTTCTCTGCTTTTTGCAGATGATGTGGTCCTATTGGCTTCATCAGGTTGTGATCTACAGTTTTCGCTGGAGCTGTTTGCAGCCGAGTGTGATGCAGATGGGATGAGGATCAGTTCCTCCAAATCTGAGGCCATGGTCTTGAGCTGGAAAAGGGTAGAGTGCCCTCTCTGGGTCCTGCCCCAAGTGGAGGAGTTTAAGTATCTCAGATTCTTGTTCATGAATGAGGGAAAAATGGAGCATGAGATTGATAGGCGGATAGGTGCAGCGTCGGCAGTGAAGCAGGCGCTGTACCGGTCTGTCGTGGTGAAGAGAGAGCCGAGTCAAAAGGTGAAGCTCTCAATTTACCGATCGATCTACGTTCCTACCCTCATTTATGGTCATGAGCTTTGGGTTGTGACCGAAAGAATAAGATCTCATATACAAGCGGACGAAAAAAGTTTTCTCCGCAGGGTGTCTGGGCTCTCCCTTAGAAATAGGGTGAGAAGCTTGGTCATCCGGGAGGGACTCAGAGAAGAGCCGCTGCTTCTCCACATGGAGAGGAGCCAGTTGAGGTGGCTTGGGCATCTGGTTAGGATGCCTCCTGGACGCCTCCCTGGTGAGGTGTTCCGGGCATGTCCCACCGGGAGGAGACCCAGAAGAAGACCCAGGACACGCTGGAGGGACTATGTTTCTCAGCTGGCCTGGGAATGCCTAGGAATTCCCCCAGAGGAGCTGGTCCAAGTGGCTGGGGAGAGGGAAGTCTGGGCCTCCTTACTTAGGCTGCTACTCCCGCGACCCGACCCTGGATAAGCGGAAGAAAATGG